ACCGCTGTCCACCAAACTTTTATTCTTATACAACGTGACGACTTGTAAGCTTTACTAGGTTTAGGTAGATAGAGGCCCACTTTTGGAGCTCAAGTCCCACAGTGCCAGCGGGATCTTTATAGAGCTAATAATTACCTAATAACGATGAATACCCGTTTTGACGATATCCAATAGTTCGAATCCTGGAAATGCATAAGTAGTTACGTCAAGCAATGCCTTAAATGTAACACAGAATTTAATTTTTTATGTTAGTTAACAAATGCACATATTTATATAAAACACTTTGACGGTTTCAAACGCGATGCATATTAGTTAAACTTATTTGAAAATTATGTAAGCCGTGGTCTTGACCACGGCTACTGCGAAGCATCCGAAACGTCGGACCGTTGTTAAAATGATTTTTAAATAAGTTTAAATAATATATATCGCGTTTTAAACCGTTAAAGTGTTGAATTTAAATGTGTAGTCCGCTCGTAAACTATACACAGTATTTAAGTGCACAGTGTGTGAATTAATACAGAACAATTGTTGGTATTTAAACACAAGTTGGTTATGTTATCTCAGGTAGATGAATCTGGTCGGATGAAATTAAAATCATTCATCTTCTAATCTGACATATTCTATTGTGGTCGGCTATAGGAGTAGATTTTGAGACCTTCAAGTTTTTGTACCGGGGAGCGACTATTTGTTACCTGTTCATTTAGACAGATACCATCTTATATAGCCTTGTACACAAATAGAACGTGGTATGGGCTTAAGCTAGAGCTTTTTGCTTTTAATCTGGTTTCCCAGATAGTGTCAACTTGGCTGTATCTTTTAAATAATAATTTATTTTTACCTGTGAATTAATAAGGATTTATTTTACCGTCACTTTTACGATGTAGAGTTGAGAGTAGAATATATGAATAGGTTATTTCATACTGTCTATAGTTTACGCGAGTAGTACACATTTAAATAAAACACTTTAACGGTTTATAACGCGATATATTAGTAAAACTTATTTGAAAATGATTTTTAACTTCGGCCCGACGTTTCGGATGCTTTGCAGCAGCCGTGGTCACGGGGAGACGGGAATAAGTTTAACTAAGATATTGCGTTTTAAACCGTTAAAGTGTTGTATTTAAATAGGTTATTTAATTTACGTTTTATTATTTAGTTTATGTTGCCATCCTATTTAAAATAATACTACGATTATGATATAGCTAAGTATATAAGTATTAGTGTGTAGTGTAAATTGAAAGCTACTATTGAAAAACGATTTTCTTTCGTTCGACCAAACACGAAGCTTTACAAATGGCTCGAAAGCGATTACAATTTACAATTATAAAGTTTATTTAAATGCTTCAATTGTTTTGTACATATTAAACTTTCCCCTCTTTTATTCATTGTGCATCCTCTTCGCGTTGCTTGGAAGAGACATCCGTAGTCGTTAGGTTTCTTTTTTGTTACGCGTGCCACAATATTAAATATAATTGTACCTACAGTTGAAGCTTACTTAATGCGTCAATATTATGCATCTTGATTACATTAATATTACGAAGCTTTAAAAGTTCGATCCATCAAGCGTTTGTTCAGATAAGGAAGATGTCAGACACAATGATAACAAAAGTGAGACCATGTTTATACGAGAAGCATGTATTCGTAGTGTATAACAATCAGGAAGCTTTTAATAACATCGCCACACTCTACATTCTTAAAAATATATGCTTAATATATATAACCAATGATTTATTTAAGGTTTCTAGTATCCTGGATATTTATAAAGAGTGGTTGACACATGCACCTACGTTAACAGATGGAAAACTGTGAAATGGAAATTTGAGTTTTAATTTTCGAATGATTTCTTAATTAAATAAGCGTAAGGATTTAACATCCAACTTCAACAATAAAATACCTACATATTAATTTACAATATCACACTGTAACAATTATATAGAATTGCTTTAACATATATATAAAGTTGGTTAACAGTAAAACAAGAATAAAAGAAAAGGGAAAACTATATCACGAAATATATGAAGAAAGCAAAATCCTTTTTACTTTTCTATTCAAAACTTTCCCGAATACTTACATACATACATATACGGGCATACTTTATTTTACTTTTTAGTGGTAATTACGTTCGGTGAACATTAAGGTTTTGCTGGAGCGCGCATATAAATCGGCTATTTCATGAAATATCGAGTCACAGCCGAGGGCTATGCGGCGCAGGCGCGTCGCCCCTTATCGCAGATACGATTTAATTTTCTTTTTCGACTTTTATGGATCACTTGTTCGCAGCGTATCGATAATTTGCGATCACTTTTTAATTTTTATATTTCTAACCGCATTTTGTGTCGAGACTACAGCGTTCGGTTCTTTGGATCCATAAAATAAAACGTTTGTACATGATTTATGTCAAGCGAGCTCGTAAAATGCCACTTAAAGTTTGGGAATACTTTTTTTCTTATAACTGAGCCTTTTTAATTCGACGTTAAGCTATAAACCTGTTTTAAACGCGGCCTAGCAGCAAAGATGCTACATAAATGGATCCTGATTCTGCTACTTACACTGGCTTCTCGATAGCCTGTCGCTTGCCTTTATGTTATAAGTAATTCTTCTTTATGGAGTAATAATTTCTGGCTTCTATTTCACTTTACTATATTTTTATATTATCTTTCAAATATATATTTATATATATATTACCCTATAATATGTATTGTATATCTATATCCAAGTTACTATTAAATTAAACAAATAAATAACCTGACATGTACCAATTGGTTTTCTCCTAGCCACAACGGTTAATTTATGTGGAATTTTCAATTTAGTAGATTTTTAAACGTTTAGTACCGGTTTGCAAATCCATCGCTTGTCTTTCAGTATTCGGTTACATCCTCTCACTAACCGTGAAATACCAGAATTAGGCCCCAGACTACTTTATGCCAATGCGATGATCGAACGCCTGCTACTGACCACAAAAACTATTGCATTGTCTGTGGCATTTTTATTTTAAAATGTTGGGCATGCTTTATCACTTTACGTGTTAACTATGGTCACACCAGCCATTATTAGATTACAATGACAGCCAGAGAGAAAAAATAAATTCGCGTAGCATAACAATTGGCTAGTTTTTACGGTGGGTATAATGAAATTGATGTTTACATGCATTTATTTTTTTAATATTCTTTTACCTACAACTACAGTAAATACTGTCTGTAGTTGTAGAGTATTACACAATCCAATGAAACACTTTAACGGTTTAAAACATGATATACTATACGATAAAACTACGGCCCGACGTTTCGGCGTAACCACGGCTGCTGCAAAGCATCGGAAATGTCGGGCCGTAGTTAAAACAATTTTCAAATATATATATATATATATATATGTAAATAAGTTTACCTAAAATATATCGAGTTAAAGTGTTTTATTTAAACTACAGTAAAGTTAAGTATTGTAAAATTTCTTTATCATTCTTATAAAGGTATTTTTAGACGCGTATCTCAGAAAAGCAGTCTCGTTTAAATCCTTGTAGTAATTGACAGTGAGATTATCGCTTACTTTACTCTGAAACCAAAGTCTGTTAATGACGAAGCTGCTTAAAAATTCACAATGTGTACAGTTTGGAAATATTCGCGAATTATTCATAATGAGTGAACGTTCCGAGTACTTCAGTCATTTGCAATTTTGCTTTGCCGTTTTTAAACATTATTTCAATCACTGTTACAATATCAAAGAATTTTAAATACCAATAATAGTTAAATTTAGCAGTAGGTACATTGTATTCATACTTTACATTTTTATAATTTTTGTATATGTATTATGTATGTGTATAATTAGGGTACAAGAATTAAATAAGGGTTCACAAGGAATTTATAAATAAAAATTTTTGTTGCACTTGACTGTATTCATTATAATTACGACACTTTTGAGATTGCAAAATTTCTTGTTCGAATTTGGAATTTATGTGACGTATCGTCGAGTATTAAAAAGTCCCTTGAGGGTTGAGAGGACGATCAATCTTGTTGATGGTAGCTATTTTATTATTTTATGTAAATTTGTAAAATGCTCGGTGTTCGCGTGTACTGTGGCAATATTTCCCATTTCGTGAATCTATAAAGACACCTGTCCCAGTACTTATTGTGACGAAAATGTGATAATATTGAAATTACACGTTGTGCGATAGAGTGCCTAATGCATAATATTAATTAAGTGAAACCAAACTAACTTTGAAACAAAGGAAACGTCAGTTGTTTAATTTTTATCTAATAAAATGAGATATTGTTACTAAACGAGTATTACATATGGATATAGCAAAAAAAAATAAAAATATCTATAGTTTCACAAGCAAAATAAAAAAAAAAACATTGTAATTGTCTTTGTCTCGTTTTCACAACTTTCAATTTGAACACCATTCTTAATTTGAAATTGCCGTTTCCGTTTTAAATTTAGATAACAAGTTTGAATCAGTGTTTTTGTTGCATTAACATAGCAACATAGTAAGCGGAATACAGTAGTTTTGCATCGTTTAGGACAAGAAACCGGACACCGTGTTGCGTGTGTTGCACGTGGAACGTACTTATTCGAACGGCAAAATTTTTCCACCCTGAATTGATAGACATCAATCGTAACATTCGTTATTATTGTTAAAATGTAGTTTTTAAAAAATACTGTTATAAAAGAAACGGATGACCATATGTAAAAGTTTAAAAATCGGATTATAATACTATGATATCGATTTGCTTATCATTGTTTCACATTATTTGTGTACTGCTATAACCGATTGAGCTACCGGGTCCTACACGTTGCATTTCTTCATCCCTTTAAATGCGATTGATACAAACACATGTATAAAATATAAAACTTTAATTAACATGCTTAAACAAATAATTGAATTACGAACGGAAATCACTTTGCACTATTGAAATTATCGCTCGCTTCAAAATCATATCTCAACTTAAAAATAACAAGGCATAACCACCTAATCGTACCGTGCTGCCCCCGTTCTTAAATCCACCATGCGGCGGAATGCCGGCAAACGAGTTTTCTATCCGTCCCTCTCTTCTCTACGGTATATCTTTATCTGTCTTTGTCACTCGCTTGTCATTTTCTATAAGTTTTTCTAACATTCTCTGGTCACACCGCTTCGTTGGTTCGGTTTCGACCTAACGCTTGAGTCTTCAACGATAACTTTTGTTTGTTCAACAGTTTCTATTGTTTGTAATACTTATATTGTTACGCCCGGTTAAAGCTCTGATGACTAGTGTTTATTTTTACTCAATTAAATTTAGTTTACATTGTCTATTACATTATAATTCCCTTTTATTTACAACTATTGTCTTTTTCTTAGTAAAGGGTTTAAGAACTCCGACACACCATGCTGGGCCAGTGGTGATAGTAAGTTCTATGACTTAACTTGCTCAAGGCACGGGTATAGTGACTCTTCCAAGATGCAAATCCGCCCCGAGAGGGAATCCGGAAATATAGCAGTTGAACGTACTAACCACTAAAACATTGATACGGTATAATATAAACTACATAAATATAAAATGTTTCTGTACAGCATTGTCTGTAATTTACCCGAATATTACAAATATAAGACACTTATAATGGTTTTAAACCCGAAATATATTAATTACCTTGTCACTACAAATGTGGTGGCTGATGCAAAACATCTAAAACACCATAGTTAAAATTAATTAAAAAACGTTTACAAATATATTTTGCGTTTTGAACCGTTAAGAGTGTTTTATTTAATGGTTCGTATTGGATTATTGTCATGAAAATTCCTTATTCGTTCGTTTGTTTAAGTAGCGTTGGCAATAGAATAAGCATTAAACAATGAAAACATTACTGAAATAGCTTATTAGACGGCTGCGGTGAGAAATCTTTATCTAAACGCTTTGCGCAGGCGCACGACACTAACAATCTACAAATTAAAAGGGACCGGACGTGTGCCAAAGGTAACTTTATGGGCTTTGCATGTCTTATATCAATAAATTATTAACTACGCGCCTTGTTTGATTTCACATTACGCTATTCAATTTGAAAACAACTGTAGCCTTTCTTTTATACAGTTCAAAATTGATTACACACTATCTTCTGGGCTTTTATTGGAAATTAGTCTTTATTACTTTTATATAATGATTAATTTGCGTTGTGAGTTTAAAACGAGAACAATTTAACAAGTAAGTTTGAGGTTAACGTAGGAATCTCTCAGTTACAATAAATAGATACATTTATTCAGATAAATTACGTTTCAATTATGTGTTTATCGTAGGTCTAGCGGTAGCATGACTAATAATAAACGCGGTTTAAATCCGTTCATGTCTACACTATCTAACAACTTAAAATCTGGACATAGGTGGGTGTTAGTAAAATGGAAATAACGTGAATTTTTAATTCGCGTTTCAGTTTCAGATTCAAGATTACCGAATGTCTAAAACCAATATAGGCCGACAGTGCATCGTATTAAGATGTTATATGTCTGGGGTAGGTTTTTCAACTTCCATCGTTTGAACCCTATTTGTCTACGCTGCTCTCTCCAATATGTTAAAACTTTATTAAAAAAAGTATTCGATAAACACAATAGAATATTAATTCTCAAGAGTGTAGGGTTCAGGACGGGGCAAATAATTAATTACGCTTTGTAATAACTCGCGAGATTCCTGTACTGAGGATATATGCACTTATTCACATCGTTAAGCTACTGTGTGTAATGTTTGAAAACACTCTATTACAGTTTTCAACTTTATTCAAGTACTGATATTAGACCATGACCAGCTCTTTTTATTGCCGATTTTCAATTAATATTTATAAAAAAAAACGAATATTACGATTAATGTTTAAAGATTGATACTTACCTAAATTATACCTATTTGAACCTATATGTATACCGATACCTACGTATAATAAAATCTTATTTTAAGTATTTTTAGACAAAGCCTTACTCATCTTATAAAATCACTTTTATAGTAAATTGTTAAAATATATCGTTATAACTAGTACTTAATAAAATGTGCAATAAATAAAATTTAATATTTAATATGAGGACAACCAAATTTTTATATACTTACAAAAGATTGTCAGGTCAATAAAATGTTTATAGTTTTCCAGTTGATTGAGAGGTTATCAACCTCGTAATATATTTTATGTTGAATTTATATTAAGCCTTATTATGTACATATGATTACCATTAATAAAATTAATCAATACAAATCAATGTTTATACGTCACAGTTGTCTCTTGACAAAAGACGGATAGCGACTGATGTTGTAATTTCTTTACCTATGTATGCTACTCGAAGGTAAACCTTTTTTATTAAAAAACTAGCAATACTTGAAAGTAAAAGCAATTTTCACACAAGAACGAAAGTACTTATATCCGTATATATGATAGGATGTCATTAAGTAAAAGTATAACTTTTATACTAAGTAATATGTTTTTATAGTGAAGAAATTTTTAACTGTAAAATTTTTAGCTTTAAAATTCTAAAATTAGACTATCACGTGTAGGACACGGTAGCTTAGCAACCGAACGGAACGTTGTGTATTCAGGTTCAAGTCCTGTCCATGTCGTTATTTTCTTTAATCTAAAATCGATACATATCTACTTCTATGACAATACATTTTTACTACCTGTACCCCAAAAATCACGCAGATTACTTGTTCAGTTACGATTTAAAAAACGAACAAACAAATCGCTCGCATTTTGAATTAGTATGGATGGTTTTAATGATATGTAATGTGTTGTATTATAGTTTGTAACACGGTCGCGTTGATATAGTTGCCACTTGCCGATGTCTAGGTCAATACGTAGAAAGAAGACTTCCGGCGATAACAGCTTTCTCTCGGAGCTTGAGGGAACATTTTTACTCGGAGCATACCTATAAATTATGATAATGGCTGTGTTGGCGTTTCCTCTAATACCTTCTTTCACTAATTGGTTGTATATTTAACGGGTAATCGGACTATTTCTCCGTTATTCTTTTATGACAGTAGAGGATTTTTTTTACGGGTTCGTTGGTGTAATTCGATCCCCACTGGGTCCAACTTTTTTTCTATTTTTTTTTTATTTTAAATTTATATTTTTTCTGACACATGTTGAATTCCGTCTGGAAATCTGGATATTAGATGGGTGGTAGGAATATCGAAATTCCGTCCGGGTCACGAACCACCGTCCACAGATGAAAACGCCGTGGAGTTTAACCACGTTTCGGTTTCAGGCCGATTACCGAATATCCGAATACCGAATAATAAGTTTGAATATTTCACTTACCATTGGTACTTTTTTCTGCAACAAATCGCCCAAATAGAAAACGACTATACCATATATATGTATAGGTTTTTTAGAATGCTTAATTTTATTTATAATATGATCGGCGCAATAAAGTGCTACATTACTATTAATATGCAAGCTAAAATCGGGTTTATTATAGCAACACTATTTCAATCTAGGCTTTCCGATTGTAGGTACATTCTAGGTAGCCTGATTTAACGTAAAACTACTTAATCGTTGCCGCTAGTACTAAATAAGCTTAGCTAAGAATACATAAGTTACAATTCAGTTGTACTTACTTATTATTGCAGTATTTTTTTATATAATATGTATTTTGAGGACTTCTGTAGTTGAAAAAAATGAAATAAATGATTTTACTGTAACCGGCCGTGCCATGCGCAATTTCCATGATTCCATGAAAATGATTTTTTTTATTAAATTCACCCCATTTTTTTTAATGTTTAAATTCTTCTTAACTTAATCTTATATAACAGAAGTCATCAATGTGCCCAATAAATTACATTTCTTATATTATTTTAGAAAATTCGAATTGGTATCAAGCGGCTAAATTGATTTTTTAATCGGAATACAGGTCGAGAGCTCGTCAATTTAGTGTTTGTTTCCACGATCGCGTGGCAGGTAACATATTTCTTCAGACAGCGGGGGGTGTCTGGGGTTAAATGATGCGTCGGAGTGTATTCTATCCTCTATATACACGGGAGCCATTTCAACTTATACCAAAACCTCAAAATTAATTTAAAAAAAACACTTTAACGGTTTAAAACTCGATATATATTAGTTAACCTTGTTTTAAAAACTAATTGGATAAACGTTTTGGATGCTTTGCAGCAGCCGTGGTCACGGGGTGACAATCAACCGAAACGTCGGGCCGTAGTAAAAATAATTATCAAATAAGTTTAACTAATGTATATCGCGTCTTAAACCGTTAAAGTGTTTAGTTTAACTAGTACTTAGCGCGTTTAGTGTTTAGTAAGTGTAACAAAGAGTTGAAAGATTAAAAATGTGTACTACTCGTGTAAACTACAGACAGTATCTTAGAATTAAATAAATCTGACATTTGCACCATACATTATTATCTAGTCTCCGTTCTTTTGACAATTTCTTGCATAACTACTCGTGTTTGTTCCTCGCAATTCGTTTTTTGCATGCCCACACAGGGTGGCTAATTACCAAGATTGACCTTTCGTTGACATTCACATTACCCATAGTTGCTTAGGCGATGACGATAAGCGCTTTTTGTAGAATCGTGAATAACATAGGTCTCGCTCGAATCGATTAGGCGCATTTCAAATGTTTTCGTCGGGCTTTGGTCTCCTATAAACGCGGTAACCTACTAGTTGCTTACTATTAAATTGCCTGCTTCCATGGGCGAAAGATGTGTTGTTGACAAGAGTACGTCGACAAAAGATGATTGTAGAGAAATATTTGTTTTGCAAAAATTAAAAATAACTAGACATCTCCGGTACAGTACCTGTACGTCGGCTACCCTTCCACACACCAAAGCGTGTGAAAGAGACAACAACCGTATTTTTCTAAATAATTAAATAATAAAGACACGAAACATTAGGAAAAGGTAGTCCTAAAAGTGATTTTGAATATCGAAAGCGTTTGGTCCATATAGTCAATGTTTCTTTAAATAAAAGGTAGTTCTTTATGGTTTGAAATCGGCCATATTTGTTGTGGTCTTTTACCAAGTTAGAAAAAATACACTATAGCTCACTACTACTATAGCACAATACTGTAACAACAAAAAATCTAAGTTATCAAGGATAAAGTGACGAAGTGGAGATGAGATACGCATAACGCGTGAAGCTACAGCCTACGTTTATAGCAGACCACGGCCTTATTTTCTTGTGACCCGCTCAAACTTTTGTCCCTTGATTAGTTTTTGATGTAGCGATAAATGTGACTTATGTGGTTTTGGGTTAAGCGGGCGCATTTGTTTAATGACGGGTTTGTCGAGTTGAGGCGGGCTCCGTTTAATGTGCGGACGCTATTATTATGCTTTTGGCATTCTTCCGTTACACGATAATTGTTATGGCTAATGCTAATGGATGTTTAGGGGGCTGAGTTAACACGATGACGAAATAAAAAAAAGCAAATCCGTCCTTTAGTATGACGAACGCGTTGGTGGAATGGTAGCAATTTAAGGCTAATAATCAACGGTGGTGGTCGTATTGATATTAAATGGGTGATAGGAATATTGAGACTC